TCATCTAGTGGATGATGAATTCGATGCATGTTGTGAACAAAGACCTGGTAGTAGTTTATCATACCGAGGAATGAGCAAAGTGTGGATAGGTCTGTCAGCGATGGCATGTTGATGATAGCATTGACCTTAGCTGGGTTTGGATGGCATCTGCCCTTATTGACAATGTAGCCTAAGTATTTGATGGAATTCTTGAAGGATGTGCACTTCAGTCAGATTCAGAACTCATAGTTGTGGATTTGATGGAACACCTTATGGAGATATTGGTGGTGATCATCCACATTGTCACTAATGATGACTTTATATAGATATGCAAAGATGAATGACAGTTTTGAGACCATGGATGGAGTTCATGATAGATTGGAAGATGCCTGGAGCTGACTTCACTCCAAATGGAAGATGTTGGAATTTGTAGAACCCATGGTGTGTTATACTATTGCAGAGTTTTTTGGAAGTGTACTCAAGTTTCACTTGCAAATAGGGATTAAAAAAGTCTTTTTGTGAGAAGATCCAGTCACCATTGAGTATGGAGAAAATGTCTTTCAAAAGTGGTAAGGGATGCTGATTGAGCTGGATAGTGTCATTAAAACCCGTTGAGTAATCCACACACATTCATGATGATCTGTTCAGTTTTTTGATAACTATGATGGGAGTAGCCTATTTGACATAGTCAATGGGTTTGATGACTCCTATATTCATTAGGTAATTGAGTTCCTCCTCTACATTCGGTCATGAGGCATATGGAACTGATTTGGCCTTGTGTTTGACAGATGTGATGTCTGATTTCAACATTAAAGATGCTTTTGTTATCTTGCAGAGTTCCAGTCCTTTCTTGAAAACTTCTGGGAAGCTGCTCTGCAATGATTTGATGACTTGAACCTCATTGTATGACTTCTGACAGATGCTGATGTCATATAACTTTGCAGCAAAAAATTCAAAATAACGCATAGTGTCAATCCTGAGGAGGTTGAGAACTCTCTTCTTGGCTACATAGAATGGTGGTTCTTTGCAGTTGTTGTGACAGGTGATGCATTTTTCCTTAAGAATACTTCCATCATATGATTTAGCTCATTCTGTACATGGCTGAAGTATGGTGGTTGTCCAATAGTATCATAAGTCATTTTGTTGATAATGATAATTTTAGAATTGCTATTGAGATAGAAGTCGACAGTGTTCATTAACCTCTATCCTTGCTTTTAGCAGTCGACAGGCATTTACAAAATTTTGAATAATTCTGATCCTTGCAGAACACACTTGCTTTTTCTTTTGTGGTCATTGACATAGTTTTCCAAATGTCCTATGCCCAAATAATCAAACACCTTAGTATTTCCAGCAATGAAGTATTTAATAAAATAAAAAATAAAAATGTTTTTGACTATATTTAATAGTCTTCTCAGTTAAGCCACTTTAAAACGAAAACGAACATAAAATAGAACGCAAGCAATACAATTTTTTTTTTTTTTTTAAATTCTTTACCACGATTAATTTCTTAATATTTTATTTGTAATTTAATTTTGTTTTTTATGTTTTATTTTATTTAGTTGTAATTAATTTCAATTTTTTAAACCATTGTATTGCTTGCATTCTATTTTATGTTCATTTTAAAGTGGCTTAACTGAGGAAGACTATTAAATATAGTCGAAAATGTTTTTATTTTATTAAATACTTCATTGCTGGAAATACTAAGGTGTTTGATTATTTTATGTCCTATGCCCTATGCGATTACAGTTTTGGTATTTGTGCCTCAAATGGACAATCTTTGTACTAATCCTACTTGCCAGATCGCTTGCAAGCACTTTGTGGATGATTTGCCTTCTTGTATTTGTCTTTCTTAGGCAGGGTCTTGGCATGGACATTATTAACAAGATGTTCTGTTTCCTTATACAATTTGTTTTCTGAATGCATTGCTATAAACTCTGTCAAATGTAATGTTTTCTTCATCTGAGCTACCTTCTGGAGAATTTGAGCGCACAGTGACTCATGGGCTTTCAGCTTAAATCCAGTATGAACAATGAGACAAAAGAATAGCTCGTCAGTCCGAGCACAAAAGTTTTATTGTCATCAGGCTGCTCTCACTCAATTCATGAAATGGTGGAAGTCTTCCATTGTCAATTGTGAAGCACAAATAGTCATATCAGTCCACAAAGATGGTGTTTCTTCCTGAAAAGTTGGAATCAAGTAGTAGTTTCCTCTTAGTTGAAGTCCGTAATCCAAGGCAAACTCAAAAGGACTTGCTCATTTGTTGAATTTTGAGCTGTCTTTTTTGTTGGGTTGCAATTCTGGCAACTGAGGGAGTGTTCCTGAGAATGATGTTGATGAAGGTGCATGTGCAGTAGAGCAAATGTTTTCAATAAGTTCAAATAAAGCCTTCTTGATGACATGTGGCCTCCTGTTGTTGACTAGACACATCTTGCTGTTCCACAAGTAATGATTTTATGAGAGACTTAACTGATTTTGGGTCCATTGCCATATCCTTAATTAACATCACCAGTGTTAGAATCTTTACTGTTAAGATCTTTACTGTTAAGATCTCTAATCAACCTATTCTAATTCAGTTCAATTACAAACAAATAAATGTTTAGCAGTTACAATGGACCAGACTGGACCCTAGTCATGTCCTGCTTGACCAACTGATCCTGAACAAAGACTTCCCCAGATATCTTACCTACACCCAACCAGACCCCTGGTCATTGTTAATTTATTTATATTTTTACATGTGCAAAAGCCAACATAACATAAACCTAACAATTAATAATGATAAAAGGTTGCTGCTTGTTTTTCTTATGTTCATATTCCACAATTGCCTGAATTTAAATTATATGATACTAAATTACATATGATCAGTCTGTGGATGACCTGGATGTGATTTTTGACAACAATTAACATTTAAGCTCCATGTAGATAAGATAGTTAAACAGTTAAACATTTGATAAGGATTATGTGGCATTGTCAAACCAAGTCATTGAAAACTGTTCTCAATCAATTTTGTTTTTAACTACTTGCCAATCCATTGTTGATTGTCACCTGGTATGTCATCAGCGGCCACATCACTTTATCTAAAGTGTATTTATTGATCAATAAGCTGAGTAATTTACTTGCCACAAATTCAATTAACCTGGTAAGGATTAGACTAGGATTACCAAAATTCAATGACAAAATTGTATATTTTGATTGCATTTTATTGTTTAAATATTTTAATGGAATACTTCCCACATAATATATAGTTGCAAGTCCCTATTCACCAAACCTGCAATCAAGCCTGAAACACAAGCCACAATGTCACCTTGATGTTTCCTAATGATTTTGTTTTAATAGAGTTGTCAATATAAGCAATATTGAATATATTTTACATACAGATTATAGATTTTAAGAATTATGAGTATTTGTATTAAGAAAGTCTTGCATCATATAAAATTATACATTTTTTTTTATTTTTTTACACCTTTTTATTATTGACAAGACTGTCTTGTTTATAAAATCATACTGCCGTTTTATGTTACTAGCATAGAGGTATGAAGGAGTACATGTCGAGAGCTGATATTTGGCACAGAGTATTAGGTGCCCAAATCATGCATGCATAAAAAAATCCAGACTTGTAGGTAGTTAGGTTTTACTGATTTGGCCTTGTGTTTGACAGATGTGATGTCTGATTTCAACATTAAAGATGCTTTTGTTATCTTGCAGAGTTCCAGTCCTTTCTTGAAAACTTCTGGGAAGCTGCTCTGCAATGATTTGATGACTTGAACCTCATTGTATGACTTCTGACAGATGCTGATGTCATATAACTTTGCAGCAAAAAATTCAAAATAACGCATAGTGTCAATCCTGAGGAGGTTGAGAACTCTCTTCTTGGCTACATAGAATGGTGGTTCTTTGCAGTTGTTGTGACAGGTGATGCATTTTTCCTTAAGAATACTTCCATCATATGATTTAGCTCATTCTGTACATGGCTGAAGTATGGTGGTTGTCCAATAGTATCATAAGTCATTTTGTTGATAATGATAATTTTAGAATTGCTATTGAGATAGAAGTCGACAGTGTTCATTAACCTCTATCCTTGCTTTTAGCAGTCGACAGGCATTTACAAAATTTTGAATAATTCTGATCCTTGCAGAACACACTTGCTTTTTCTTTTGTGGTCATTGACATAGTTTTCCAAATGTCCTATGCCCAAATAATCAAACACCTTAGTATTTCCAGCAATGAAGTATTTAATAAAATAAAAAATAAAAATGTTTTTGACTATANTGCACAAGAGTCCCTTGCTTTTACAACTGCATTTATTCGTGGAACACTTTTTTGCAATGACAGCGTGTTCTGATCTATATTTTCACACTGAAGAGAAACTATTTTCACACTGATTGTATACCACTGTTCTCTTTGTATTGTGTGAGATTTTTGTGGGAGGTAACTGAAGATTCTAATAATAGTACATTTTTTGGCAAGGCTAATTGCTTCCTTCTGACAAATGTGGAAGTTCCTATATGTTGCCAAATAACCATTTATGTATAAGATTAAAAATAAAAAAGCAATTGTTATGTTATGTGTAATTTAATGGTTCTATTTTTAAAACTTTTTAAACTTCTGGGAAGCTGCTCTGCAATGATTTGATGACTTGAACCTCATTGTATGACTTCTGACAGATGCTGATGTCATATAACTTTGCAGCAAAANACATGTTACCTTGGAATTCTGATCTATATTTTCACACTGAAGAGAAACTATTTTCACACTGATTGTATACCACTGTTCTCTTTGTATTGTGTGAGATTTTTGTGGGAGGTAACTGAAGATTCTAATAATAGTACATTTTTTGGCAAGGCTAATTGCTTCCTTCTGACAAATGTGGAAGTTCCTATATGTTGCCAAATAACCATTTATGTATAAGATTAAAAATAAAAAAGCAATTGTTATGTTATGTGTAATTTAATGGTTCTATTTTTAAAACTTTTTAATTTATAATTATTTATTAAAATTTATTTTAAGTAATTTTATTAGTAATTGGATCAATTAATTTTTAAAAATCTGTTTCAGGGAGGAAACAATGCTGGCCATACAGTTGTAGCTAATGGAGCAGAATATGATTTTCATATTTTGCCAAGTGGCATTGTGAATAAACATTGTACATCTGTGATTGGTAATAATTGTTGTAATGAATTTAAATATATAATAATTATAATTTTTATAAATTAATATTTTATTTTATGGTACATTATATTAATTGTTTATATAAAAAAAATTGTTTATATATTAGACATATAAATATATATTTAAATGTTAAAATGCATTATTATTTAATTCAAAATCACATTTAAATATTTTTTTTTAGGAAATGGAGTAGTTATACATCTACCACAATTCTTTGAAGAATTAGCTAAGAATGAGGCAAAAGGTTTAAATGATTACAGACTTTTCATTTCCAACAGAGCTCACATTGGTAAATATTTTATTTTATAACATATATATATGTTACTGTGAAAGACCGAAATTAGAGAATGTCGATATTCTCCGGTGAATGTCAACACATACAAAATATGTCAGTGAAAGTCCGAATATTTGGTTATCTATATATATAAAAATGAATGTGTGTGTCCTTCATGCATTACCACACCGTTTATCCGATTGCCATAAAACTTTGGGAAGTTTTTTAATACACTCCCGCGAAAGTTTCTGGCATTTATCCTATGATAGATGGCGCGCGTTTACACGAGCATTCGAGCAGAGCGTGTTCGATCCATTTCAAATTGTGAAGACCATTTCCCCCTTTCAAAAAATATCTCTATATATGTATTTGTGAACTACTGGGCCAGTCTCTCATTTTGATGCTCAAATTCTAGAGTTGGAATGAGATGTAGTAGAATAGAGAAGGCTTCCATGATGATATTGAGAGGATCACTCTTGGGCTGCAATTGAGAAGATTGTCTATGAATGAGTTGGCTGATATAAAATTGTTGAGTCAATCCAGCAGTCATTTCCACTTTGTTGCGATTGATTCTTCCTGGCTGCTAATTTTGAGAGCATTGATGTTATGTAAAGATAAACTCTTTGTGAAATTTTGTTCCTGGGCTCCACGTCTGAGGTTGAATTTTGCCTTTCCATTTTGATGTCACACACTGTTGAATATTTTGGCAGCAACAATGTTCAAAATGAGAGATGTTCAAATCTTGTATCCAAAGAAGAGTTCAGCTGGCAATTTGTTTTCTACTAGTGCTGAATTTGGAATTATTTGATAAGTTTCCAGAAATATACTNAGGAATATTGCTCTTCTGACAATCGCTGTGAGTGTGTGGGCTAAATTTGGAGAATCCGTGCTTCTCGCGTGGACAACTGTATGTGGCCGGCTCATGCGTCGGAAAACCTTCCGATTTATTCGTGTACGCACCAGACGGAAAAACAAAAATTATCGTGTATCCACAAACACTCCAATAAATAAATAGAATTGAAACAACACATTGAAATGTTTTCCCGATGAAAACGAATAATAATAATAATAAGTTTCAATAAAAATGATAAAATGAAAATTTAATTTTATCATAACGAGTTTGCTTGAATTTCGTTTCTTCTCAGTTCGCAGCAATGCGCGACAGGTAAGCTAGTATTATTATACATTTGAACAATCGCCAGTGTATGTCGACAAGCACAGATAAGCTTTGGTGGAGGTCGAAACGACACCCAAGAAGCTGATGTCGACAGAGATGCGACAGTCTGTTGTCAAATACTTTGTGGGTAGCCGGTAGGACTAGGTCTTTTGATCCCGTGAGGTGAGGATCGGTTTATCAGGTTGAGTGGCGGAGGATGAGAGGGTTGTCGGTAAGGTGTCGGAGATATTTGAATAAAAGACACCATTAACAGATCAGTTCGTAATAACATAATCAGTTCATAATTTGTAAAGAAAAGTTACTTTTCATAGATGAGATTTCTTCTCAAGAAATATTACTGAGAGAAGCAGCTGCAGCTAATTTGAAAAGTGGAGGGCAAGGCTATAACGTAATAAAAATATTTTTATTACATTAAGACAAAAATGCAACATTTTAATATGTGAAAATAGGAGAAAGCATAAGTAACAACACATGTAAATAAACTGTTGAACCTAAAATGAACAGCACATTTTTAATCATTAAAGAAAATAATACAATAATAAACTTACATATAAATTATGTGATTAACGTTATACAATCTTGTTTATTGTAACAACTTAATTAAACTGTTATGGCACTTTAAATTGCACAAGAGTCCCTTACTAACTGCATTTATTCGTGGAACACTTTTTTGCAATGACAGCGTGTATAGTCTTGCCCTCCACTTTTCGAATTAGCTGCAGCTGCTTCTCTCAGCGATATTTCTTGAGAAGAAATCTCATCTATGGAAAGTAACTTTTCTTTACAAATTACGGACTGATTATGGGTTTAAAGCTGTTTGAGGGTAACATTTTTGTTTGCTAATATATAAAAGTTGGAGTCTTCTATTCCAAGAACAACTGCCAACACATTTTGGGCATCTGTACAGCCACGGTCGACATCAGGGACTTTTATTCATATGGTATCACCAATTTGAGTAGAAGGAAATGGTGAAGAATTTGGCAACAGACTGTCGCCTCTCTGTCAACATCAGCTTCTCGGGTGTCATTTTGACATCCACCAAAGCTTATCTGTGCTTGTCGACATAAACCAGTGATTGTTTGAAAGTATAATAATACAACCAAATATTCGGTCTTTCACCAATATATTTTGTATCGGTATTCACCAGAGAATATTGACATTCTCTAATTTCAGTCTTTCACAGTAACATATATATATATTTAATATTTGTTGTTTTAATTCAATATTTAATTTTTCATATGTTTTAGTATTTGATTTTCATCAAGCTGTTGATGGTTTACAAGAACAAGAAAAAGGAAAAAACAGGTTTGCTAGTTTACTTTAATATGTATTTATTACTGATACCGATTGATGTTTTTTTATTGCTTTATGATTAAATGATGAAAAATTAATTTTAATGAATATATTCCAGTTTTAATGCTAAAAAAGTTACATTGTTTTGTTTTCTTATTTTGCTTATATTTTTAATTTAAACAGTTAACTTTTAAAATTTTTAATTATCAAATAAGCCACCTATGTTTAAAAATTAACTAAAGTATACATTATTAAAATTTTTTTGGTCGATTTTAATATTTTTCAGCATAGGAACAACAAAAAAAGGAATAGGCCCAGCATATTCAACAAAGGTGTGTATAATTTTTTTCTATTTAATTTCTTATTCATGTTACGCGTAGTGGACATATCCACCAGATGTCTTAGTTTCTGGTTGGATATGGTTTACACGTGGCACTTTCGTGCCATCAGTAACTTCTTTGTCCTCTTAACCTTGTACTAGGCCAGTCGTAGTGGGATCCGTTTGGCTGACCTGCTGGGAGACTTCTCCCTATTTGAGGAAAAGTGAGTACCCAAGTCAGGCCATATAAAAATTAAGATGCCAGATTTATAATGAAAAATATAGAATTTCTGTAAATAAATACTAAGGTTTGAAATCAAAATTCTTATTGTAGCTATTTTAATATGTTTATTATTTGAAATAAGATAAATAATCAATATATTACAGTAAATATTTTGATTTGTTCTAGATTAAAAGGTTTAATTTCCTTGCATAAACGACAGTTTCCTAATTTAGAAATTGATATTACTGCAGAAATAAAAAAATATAAGGTAAACTTTTTCAATAATTTTTAATTAGGGCTGTTGAATAATTAAAATTTTAATCTTGATTAATTGTGTGATTTAAAAGATCTTGAATTACTCTTAATTTTCAATTTAAATTTAGAGATAACTCTGATATACAATGAAACAAAGAATTAAAACACATGTAACAAATTAAAAATAAACTTTAAATGTTTTGGGACTAAATTTCCTAATAAAAATGACTTATTTTTTTTCTGCTTATTCAGTTTAGAGAGAGAGAGAGAAATTGTTTTTAAGTTTCTAATATTGAGCAAAGTACAGTCGACCCCCATAACACTGTTGATAATTCCATTTTATATGAATTCCATGTTGTAGGAATCACTTAGATTTTACAAATACGTGTGCCGGGCTGTGAACGGCTCACATATTTGTAAAATCTAAGTGACTCATACAACATGGAATTCATATAAAACGGAATTATCAACAGTGTTATAGGGGGGTCAACTGTATATATTTTTTAAAATTTATTAGTTAATCCTCTGTTGATAAGTGTAACCAAAATGCTTCTGGGAATGATTACTTAATAAGACCAAACAATCATTAATATAGATTTATATTCTGATACTATTAATAATCTATGTAAAAACATATTAGAATCTGTTTTAAGGTGTTTGTGCATTCTATGAAGAATGTAGAAATTTCATACTATGTTTCATACTCAGTTCCATCTGACACTTAATTTTACATTATAATAAAATTGAAACAATTAATCAACAACCCTATTTTTAATAAAAAAATTTTGGACATACAAACAATCTAAAAATTATTTTCTTTACTTTAAAGGAATATGCTGAGAAAATCCGTCCTTTTGTTACTGATACTGTTGTTTACTTAAGTCAAGCATTAAATGAAAGAAAAAATGTTCTTGTGGAAGGAGCAAATGCTGCTCTTCTTGATATTGATTTTGGTAAATTTTTAAAATTTTATTTAATAAAAAATCAAATATATTCTGCAGATAATTGCTAAAGTGGAAATAAAACCTTCACATATTTAGATTTGAATTTTTTATTGAAAACATTACACTTCACTGATAATGGTTGTTTAGAAGGTATCATCTCAAATGTTTTTCTTTGTCCATTTCTTTTATTTCCATTAGCAATTCATTGTAGATGTAATTATAGAATAAGTGAAATGGAAAAAAAATAGAATATTTAATATGTATAGTATTTGTAGTATATTTTGATGTTTGAAGTTTATTTATTGTGACTTCAGACGCATCTTGACCACAGGTCAAGATGAGTCTGGTGTGACAATGAATATGTATAACATACATAAGTATGGCACATAAAAGGATTTTTTTTGAGATTCTCTTGGTAAGTTAATTAAGACAAAGGAAAAGCTATTGGATGAATTCATAACTGCAGTTTAAACTACAGGTAATCCATATTGTTGCATAACCTGCACCTACTTTCAGGTTAATTTTTAAACACAGATAAACAGATAACCTACAGGTTATTCACAGAAAATTAAAGTAATCAAGCTTAAAATTACTAATTTCATTTTGGTTTTTCATAAATTATTCACTTTAGATTAAATATACAAAAGTTAGAAAGATTAAACAAATGTTATTGATAAAATAATAGTATCAGCTGAAAACCATTTCTTTTTCAATTAGCATTTATTTTTTACTGACATCAAATTAAACTGTGCATTTCAATTGATTACTTCTTCTACAGTAATTAGTTCTTATCAATTCTTAATACTTGATAATTAGTGAATTCGTTAAAAATTTTAAATTTTCTAAAACAAAAAAAAAAAAAAAGAACTCAACATCCAATAGCAGATTACAAAAACAAGTTATATAAATTAAAATAAATTTTACAGAAATTTACATGGGGGCTGCTCCCATTTTCCTGTTCACTGCAGAAGGATTTTATGATCATACTATATGAAATGTTTGAATCTTAAATTGTTTAAGACTAGTGTTTTCTTTTTCAATCTTTATACATTTCTACCAAGAATCTTATCTGGGATCTTATTGGCTAAGTTTAAAGGAAGGATTGTTCCATAAATTAGTAACTTGTTTCATTTTTAAAATGTATTAAGTGCAAAATTTTCTGTTAGACTATACAAAATATTAAGTTACTGATTGAAAAGTTTATGAACTAGTTTATTTGAATGTCTAACTTTTTATAACTTTATTTTATAGGTACATATCCTTATGTTACTTCTTCCAATTGCACAGTTGGAGGAGTATGTACAGGACTAGGTATTCCTGTTCGAAGTATTGGTGAAGTATATGGAGTAGTGAAAGCTTATTGTACAAGAGTGGGTGATGGACCTTTTCCTACAGAATTGAAAAATGTATATGTTCACAGATTTTACTTTATATTTTTTATGTATTAAAAAAAAATAAACTACATAAATATAAATTTCATTTTAGAATTTAGGAGAAATTCTACAAACAAGAGGACATGAAATTGGAGTTACAACAAAAAGGAAAAGGAGATGTGGTTGGTTGGATATTGTACTGCTAAGATACTCCAATATGATAAATGGTTATACTGGGTATGTTTCAAAATTGAACTTACTTACAAATCTAATTTTTTAAATTAAAATATATACTTACTCCATATGTAAAAACTAAATTTGAATTAAGAACATTGAATTTTTGATTTAAATATATTCAAAATTGAAAAATTCAAAACAGTCTGTTGGCATTCTCAATTTTCAAATTTTTCCAAATTTTTAATAGTGTTTCCAAAATAAAGCATTACATATGGATTCTGTATTTAAAAAATATATAATAAAATAAAATTAAGCCACTTATTTTTGAGATTAATTTGATAAGAAAAAGATTGGAAAATTTTCATACAGCAGATCATGCATTTAGCATCTTTCATTCCAAAAGAATTGATTCAAAATTCCTTCACAAACCCACTGTGAAAGTCTAAAAACTAAATTGCACGACAATATTTTATGCTACGTAAGTCATGTGATAAGTTTGGTAATTCTGGAACCTAGCAGAAGAGACAGTGTCTTCAGTCATAATTACTATCAACAAATTGAACATGTGTCTTCAAATCTGTGCCCCTGTCTATAATATTCTGTATGATAAGACTATTATTTAATCTGTTCAAGTTTAATGGGTTAATATAATTTCATATATAGAATTTTTGTGTTGCAATTTGAAAAAATTGTAGATTTATAAATTTCTCAGTCGTCTGTATTTCCTCAATCTTGAGAACAGTTAGACAGATGAAAGACAAGACCATATGTGGAAATCTTATGGGCAGGAAGCCCTGATTAACTAGATATGAACTTCTGATGCAAACTGGAAGTCGTTATTTCAATTAAAAAATTTTCCCCTGAAAGGTGTTAGATAGATGACCAGCACAACTCTATTGTTAAAGGAAAAGTATGATGTACCACTACTAATCTGAGATGGAGAGCATATATTTTAAATTAAATAAATTAAAAATATGATTAAAAATTGCAGCCTGGCATTGTGATGTCACAATAAATAATTGCTCATTAAATGTAATTATAAAACCATTAGAGAGTAGCAACAAATGGTTTGAGTGTAAAACATATATTTCCAGTGTAGATTGACTTACAAATTATCCATTTTTCATTGGTTAAGTAGGATCATTCAATTTACACATTGAATGGAATCATTTTACATCATATGATAGACTTTGCAGCAGGACTATGAAATTAAATTTGATAATAAATTTGATTGAAGGCAGAAATCCTTTTAATACTTGTAAAAACAACTTTTTGAACTTTTAAACATGAGAAAGGATGGTCAATTAATATGAAGTTAATTTCAAAAAATTAGTTTAAAAGTGAACAATAGATGGTACTGAGATCAGCATTACTGATTCTGTGCCATCTACATGTTTTTATAGTTGTATATATAATTTATATATATATATAAAATTAGGGTTATAATTTAGGGTTAGGGTTTAGTAATTAAGGTTATAATTTTATATATATAAAATTATATATACTGTATATAATTTTGCAACCTTCATATTTAAGAAAGGTCTGGCAATATGCATTTCAAGCAATTGTGTTTGTTTATCTTCAGCTTTCTTTTAACTTTTTAAAGTTTTTAAATTTTACAATATTCTCTGAGTAAATATGTAATGTTTTTATTTATCTACTTACTTTTGTGCTACATTTTGAAATTGTTTGTTTTTTATATCATTTTTAATGTTACTTTGAAAAACCAAAGTAAAAATAATCCATAATTTCAATGTTAATCTTCATTTTTTCTTTTAAACATGTCAACTATCAGGCCAGTCCATAAGTTCGTGTGCATTTTTATCTACAAAAAAAAGCAACAAAAAATTTTAATTAAATTTTATTTCAATCTATAATGTATTCACCATTATTTTGTACAATTTCTTGCCATCTTGATGGTAGCTTTTTAATCCCGTCTTTGTAAAATGATTTCGGTTTTGAATCAAAATATTCAGAAATAGCCTTTTTTACATTGTTCTCATCCTCAAAAGTTTTTCCTTTTAAAAAATTCTGCAAACTCCGAAAAAGATGATAATCACTGGGAGCAATATCTGGCAAATATGGTGGATGAGGTAAAATTTCCCAGTTGAAGCTTTTGAGTTGAGCAGTTGACGTTGTTGTCAGTTAGCTATTGACAGTTCATGTGGTATCCATTTTCCTAGCTTTGAAACTTTTCCGATTTGTTGTAGATGTCTATGAACAGTTCCATGGGATGAATTTAAACGTTCCGCAATTTCATCAACTGTTAAAGATGGTTCTGCTTCAACTAGTGCAGAGAGAGCATCATCATCAAAGTCAACGGGTCTTCCAGTACGAGCCTTATCCTCCACACTAAAATCATTATTTCTAAATCTTTCAAACCACTTCTGCGCAGTCCTTACACTTGTTACAGTTTGATTATAAGCAGTATTTAATTTTTTGGCTGCATTTGTAGCATTCTCACCACTTAAAAATAAAAAGTATAAAACATGTCTCTTATATTCATCTGTTACTTCCATTTTAACGAAAATAAACAACTGAAATGTTCCCAATTCTGAACAGTATTATATGAATGAGATCCAATTTAACACTTCAGTGTAAAAAGTATCACATTAGACTGGCATTTTTAATAGCAAAACAAGATTTTTCTCAAGATCATAAAATACCCACGAACTTATGGACTGACCTGATACATATAGTACATCAGTGAGTATTGAATAATTATAAGTCTCAGGTTATCTAATGAGAACATTGAACATGTTTGAAAACTACATCTATTTTTGTTAGTTGGTTTTTTACAACAAACATTTGCTTTCATTGTGGCATTGACAAATTTAGTCCTTTTTCCTTTTGATTGTCTGTTAATAAAATACTTCTGTTTTATTTAACTTTGCATAAATTTGTTCCATTGTATTTTAAATAAATATTCATAAAGGTTAAAAAATTTCATACAAATGATGAGGAAATTAATTCTTAGTAGAGCAGTCTGTAATAAAACAGTTTACAGTGGTATATTTTAAAAGATGATAATTATATTTTTAAAGCAATATTGAAAGTAAATGGAAAATATTTTTTAAGTACTTTCAAAATATTCACATGACATTAGGTGTGAATCTTTTGAAAAGTATATAATAAAGATAAACTAAATTACTGGAAATTGAAGCGATATCAATTTAAATAGTAACAACAGCATAGCTAATTTTAGTTAGTTGTATATGATATAGATTACATGTTCTTAATAATTAATTGTTTTATTAATTTACTATTTCCAAAATGGAAGTAACTGAATGTGATGTTAAATGTGTTCTGTTTTCAGTAGAAGATTGGTTTGTAGGTAGTGACATCACAGATTCATTTACGGAAATGAACTTTTATTGTCACTTGAAAAAAAATTATTATGTAAATTTGTCTATAAAATACAGTTGAATAGGTTTGTAGAATATTATATAAATAAAAAGAAAAAGTTATGAGAAAGATGAAATTTGACATCATCATGAATTCAAACATAAATGTGTCTACAAAGTCCTCGTACATATATGATGCCATAAACATACAAACAAAATTTCCCTTTTATTTATATTAATAATTCCTTACTTAACTTTTTTATATTGTTTTTATTTTGAGGAATAATAAATTTTATTGTTGTTTATTAATTCTAGAATTGCTCTGACAAAATTGGATATTTTAGACACCTTTGAAGAAATTCAGATTTCTATTGCTTACAAATTAAATGGAAAAAGAATGCTTTTTCCTCCAGGTAAGCAAAGATCATCTGTTAATTTTTTTTACTAATTAAATGTTTGGATAATTTCTAGTAATAAATATTGTTGCCATCTATTGACAGTTAAATTTTACAAATAAGAATTAGGAATTTTATAATTATTTTCTTACTTTAATTTAGTGCTGCTATCTATTAGTATTCATAAAATCGAGTTGTCTAATTTATTACTTATCTCAAGTATAGATTTGATTTTTGATAAATTAACTTTTAAAATGTTTAAATTTATAAATCATTTAATTTTCATTAGAAATGGTGAAACATTGATTGATTTAACAGTAATTAATTCATTCTAAATTTAAAAGTAGAAAGTGTTTAGACTTTATATATTTTTTTAATTCATTCTAAATAAATCATTTAATTAGTAAATTATATTTGTATTCGTTCAATATTTTTCAAAATTATAGTATCAGGTATAGCAATTTTATTGTAAATAACCAAAAGATTTAATGAAATTGAACTTTAAATTTATAAAATTAAATTTGATGTAAAAAATAAGATGAAAATCCAATTTTAATAAGTTGTCTTTTTGTTTAGCATCTGCTGAAGAATTGGGCAGAGTGGATGTTGAATATCTGACACTTCCAGGTTGGAAAGAATGTACTGAAAATGTTAGAAAATTTACTGATCTTCCAGAAAATGCACAACAATATGTTAGAAAAATAGAAGAATTATTAGAAGTTCCTGGTAAGAATTATTATTATTTTTTTAAAATAAATATAACAGAACATATTAAACATGATCCAATATTGAATATGTTCATTAATTAATTCAATTAGCACATGCATGTGTATAGAACTTTCAATGCCATTATGAATATGAATTTAATGTCTTAATATATTTGCAATTTTTCAGCTATATATTGATATGATTGAGAGATTACAAATATAAATTTTGTAATATTCTACTGGTAGTTCTGTATAAAAGCAGCATGTCATGTAGTCACCTAAAATCAATGTTTAAGATTTGAGGCTGAACATCAATTTGGCACTATTTTTATGGAAAATTGTTTAAAATACAGAAAAATAAATTCAAATAATACCAAAATTGTTACTGTAAGTCAGGTATCTCCCAAACTTTTTGAGAGTAGGATAATCTGGCAGTTTCTAAAATGTTATGATGGTACAAGAAAATATAATTTATTAAATTATTACATAATCAAACATTTACCAGAAAGACAAAAAATATATATATAGGCCTAAAAAACAAAGGAACACAAATCTCAGTCAAACATAGATTAATGTAGATAGTAGGTCTGTTCACTGAGAGTTGATTTATTTTAAATAAACATTATTTATTTGCAGAAATACTTGTTCATAAGGATATTTTGGGAATTTTGTTTGATTTGATGTGTTTGATGATGATGACAAAAGAATGTACTTCCAAAATAGAGAGTAATTTTTAGAAAAACTTTATTACTAGAATTTGAATTTCCAAAATTCATTGGAGTTTCATTTTAACATGATTTGAATTAGTGGCTTATCCAAGGGTGGTACTATAGCAAAGCACCAATCAGTTTTATTACTTTAAAATAAAAATATATGTAGTAACATGTATCACTTGACTTCAATAACAGAAAGTAATCTTGTTCAAACAGAAAAAGCAGAAAAATTTAAACTGTTATTTCTCAGAAACAATGTCAAAAATTGTGGATCACAGACTGAAGATAATTATATAAATTCAAAATAAGTAATTTTGATGATTTTGAGTAGAAATAAGAAATGTAATGATTTTATACAGTTTCTATTTCTCCTGTAGAATCTTACCAAGTATAAATTATACTGTAATTTGTATAATTTATGATCAGTCTAACAAGCCAAATTATCAATTATCTATTTTTCATCATACGTTCAACAATTTTTAAGAAGGTAATGAGAAAAGAGTGATGTTAAAAGTTAGGTAACTAAGGTAATTAAGATAATTAAGTAACATTTCTCCAAAAACAATAGTGGACAAGTGCCTTGATGACCTGCTTGAATCTATTTTGAGCAGCATTTATATTCTCAAAATTCTGATATATCATCTGCTTTGAAATTTTGGATCAAATTAAAATTATATAACACTGATTTAGTCTTGTGAATTGTGTACTTAAATAAATTTTTGTATTTTGTTGTTTATTTAATAATTGGATTTGTTTGCAAAATTGTAATATGTAACAACTGTATAACAACTGAAGAGGGACAATATTAGTCCAAAATGCATTTTGTTAAAGGTACTTAAAAAGAATAAAAAAAGAGAGTTGTAACATACAAAAGTTGTTGTGATAAGTTTGGGAAAAACAACACTATTGGGTTGCTGAAATAATTTGAAGTTTTTTTTTCTAATTTTATGTTTGAAATATTTGTAATAACTAATGCTGGCAACAAAAAATAGGGTTTCAAAACTGTTTTTGAACAAGCAATGAAATCAGTATGCATTCAGAGAACAGATTGTTTTATAAGCCAGTTCAAATTATCATTGTTTTTATTTCATCCTCTAATATTGAATGCAAAAATTATACAGAAACTTAATGTCAAGTGATTTTGTATTCATTTACGATACATACATGTAGTATTTTCCTATTACACATAATAGATAATGTAAAATAGAAAGTAATACAAATTTTTTATATCTATAGTATCCTAAATCATTGTTTAACTATTTGTAAAAATTTCCTTCCAGAGATGAAAAACTTGAATAACTTGTCTTACAATCCCATTCCTATTTATTAGAATTTATATAAGATGAAAAAAATTTATTTATACAATAAAATCTGTTTAAACCAGAATTGCACTATATCAAATTTTTTTCTGTTTGGCAGGGCTTTTGTTTTTTAACAAGTTTTTTTTTTTTTAATTTCAATTAAAGACTGGAATTAAAGCTAGTTGAAATTAAATTGGATGCAAGAATTCGGGAAGAATGAGAACCTTTGTTCTCGTTCTTCCTGAAGTTGAGAGTTGGTGGATCTTCCTGAAAAATTGTGTTAGGTATTTGAATATTTCTCGGATCCTATCTCAGTAAGCTCATACAACTAATAAGCCAATTGGAGTATCCAGAACAAGTCTTGTTCTGCCTCGGAAATTATAATCACGTTATGGGAATAGAGATTAAATTATTGTGATCTGAATTCTTGAGAAATTTCAATACTCCAATTAATTGTTATTTGATTCTCAGTTTTTAAAAAAATTACAATCTTCCCTGTGGGCACTAAGAGGGCCTTTTTAGCAAGCCCATTATGAATTTGGCCTGGTGAGATACAGAGCCTGAGATATCAGGATGGATAGAAAATTTCTGGGATTTTTGACTGTCTGAATTCTATATCTGATCCCCCACAGGGCTGTCAACTTAGTCACTTGGCCATTAGGCCATTGTTCTCTGTAATTATCAATACTAACAGTGTTAATCAACTTGTTCTCGGAAACTTATTCAATTCTGCTCCCAGTTAATTATAATAAAGACTAATGTAAAAAAAGACTGTCTATATCTCTTCTGGTCATGCTGATCTTCGTTTTTCTGAATAGTGTCATGCTCTGCAATTATACTTACTGTTATGCTTAGAGATGATTTTACTTATTTGTCTACAAGTGGAGTTAATTTTTTGCTTTATTCAGTTAAGTTACATTCTTTGCATCTTCCATTTTCGCATAAGACAGGTTCTGGCCTATAGTAAAATTTAACTGAAAATCACTCAATTCCGACATTTTTCTGTTTAGATAAATTTGTTTTATTTGGGTTTTACCATATTAAAAAAGAAGTATTTAAAAAACAATGTGCATTATTTTCTGAATTATAGGAAAAAAAATTAATCCATGATATGGATTACGTAATTTATCTAATTGGCGATAAATCATGTAATCAGTTTCTCGGCCTGTTTATTTAAGATAAATATTTTTTCTACATAATTTATTTTTTAACATATGATTGAAATTGAATTTCTGATTGTTTTTACATCTCTTTTCCCCATATTAGAGTTAGGTTAAATCTCAAGTTATTGATAAATTGCTGTTCACCAACTCTAAATCTTGAGTCAAACACTAATAACTATTAGTGTTGGTAAATAGCAATTTACCAATAAAATGCAATTTTTAACTATTCTAAATTATTTTATCTCTTCTTAAATATTTCTTAAAAATTATAAATGTATTTTCGATATTTCCCATAGCAAAGTGTGATACAATTAGTTCAATTTGTAAATTTAATTATTTAATCTAGGTCACTACAACCTGTTAGCTTTTTTACATTCTTATTAAAATTTCTATATAGAAAAATTCAAAACAGTCTGTTGGCATTCTCAATTTTCAAATTTTTCCAAATTTTTAATAGTGTTTCCAAAATAAAGCATTACATATGGATTCTGTATTTAAAAAATATATAATAAAATAAAATTAAGCCACTTATTTTTGAGATTAATTTGATAAGAAAAAGATTGGAAAATTTTCATACAGCAGATCATGCATTTAGCATCTTTCATTCCAAAAGAATTGATTCAAAATTCCTTCACAAACCCACTGTGAAAGTCTAAAAACTAAATTGCACGACAATATTTTATGCTACGTAAGTCATGTGATAAGTTTGGTAATTCTGGAACCTAGCAGAAGAGACAGTGTCTTCAGTCATAATTACTATCAACAAATTGAACATGTGTCTTCAAATCTGTGCCCCTGTCTATAATATTCTGTATGATAAGACTATTATTTAATCTGTTCAAGTTTAATGGGTTAATATAATTTCATATATAGAATTTTTGTGTTGCAATTTGAAAAAATTGTAGATTTATAAATTTCTCAGTCGTCTGTATTTCCTCAATCTTGAGAACAGTTAGACAGATGAAAGACAAGACCATATGTGGAAATCTTATGGGCAGGAAGCCCTGATTAACTAGATATGAACTTCTGATGCAAACTGGAAGTCGTTATTTCAATTAAAAAATTTTCCCCTGAAAGGTGTTAGATAGATGACCAGCACAACTCTATTGTTAAAGGAAAAGTATGATGTACCACTACTAATCTGAGATGGAGAGCATATATTTTAAATTAAATAAATTAAAAATATGATTAAAAATTGCAGCCTGGCATTGTGATGTCACAATAAATAATTGCTCATTAAATGTAATTATAAAACCATTAGAGAGTAGCAACAAATGGTTTGAGTGTAAAACATATATTTCCAGTGTAGATTGACTTACAAATTATCCATTTTTCATTGGTTAAGTAGGATCATTCAATTTACACATTGAATGGAATCATTTTACATCATATGATAGACTTTGCAGCAGGACTATGAAATTAAATTTGATAATAAATTTGATTGAAGGCAGAAATCCTTTTAATACTTGTAAAAACAACTTTTTGAACTTTTAAACATGAGAAAGGATGGTCAATTAATATGAAGTTAATTTCAAAAAATTAGTTTAAAAGTGAACAATAGATGGTACTGAGATCAGCATTACTGATTCTGTGCCATCTACATGTTTTTATAGTTGTATATATAATTTATATATATATATAAAATTAGGGTTATAATTTAGGGTTAGGGTTTAGTAATTAAGGTTATAATTTTATATATATAAAATTATATATACTGTATATAATTTTGCAACCTTCATATTTAAGAAAGGTCTGGCAATATGCATTTCAAGCAATTGTGTTTGTTTATCTTCAGCTTTCTTTTAACTTTTTAAAGTTTTTAAATTTTACAATATTCTCTGAGTAAATATGTAATGTTTTTATTTATCTACTTACTTTTGTGCTACATTTTGAAATTGTTTGTTTTTTATATCATTTTTAATGTTACTTTGAAAAACCAA